CTTTTCACAGCAATGGTGGGGACCAGGCTGTTAAAAGTGGAACTCTTAACACCAAATTCAGTTTGTTTTGTTCATGATAGGAGAGCATTAAACCAGCTGCTGCTTTTTGGTGTGGCCATCTCTCCTCTACTCTGCCTCTTCTGAACAGCGTGTCATGGCCCAGGGTTGAGTCTTACAGGTCTAATTCTACAGCGGGGGTTGGGTATTTTTCAAGTGAATGCAAAATCAGGAAGAAATAGCAAGCTGTACAAGCCAGCCAGTGCTATTAATAGGACCACAAAATGCATGAAGCAAGTAATTTCAAGCAAGCCACGGTTTTCCATACAGCCAGCACTGTCAGCAGGAGGGGTGGGTAACAAAAAATGGGAACACCTCCTCCATGCCACCAGCTGTAACCAACTATGGAAATTAAAGTTAATGGTAAAGATGCACAGCAATAAATCCCCTGCTCTGGGAAAGTCCTGCACTACACAGGTGGGACCAGAAACTTCCTGAAATGTCTCCACAAGGCTTTCCTGCCCAAGATCTTCAGGGAAGAAGGTTTATGTGCAGCAAGGAAGAACACCAGACATGACAAGACTCTGGATTGATGGAGACAGGAGAAGACAGCTCCCAGGGTTGTGGGGATAACACCAAGGCAATGAAACCCTGGAAGGGAGCTGAACTAGGAGACAACTACCAAACAGTGCCTCAAACCCCATAGAAATTTGATTGTGGGAATTGGAAGTGAGATAATGAGCCCAGTTCACCAATTAAAGGCAACTGGAACTGCTGTTCAGACAAAAAAAAAAGATATACTGGAGCTATACAGATAATTTTCCTTTTTTTAAGGAAAGTCTATAATCAGTGTTAGAAAATACAAAGTCTTTCTATAGTTCTGGACTGACTCTTGGTGGTATTTAGGAGACTGGAGCTGCAGAAGACCAACCTGCCCACTGTTAACTCCAGTTGCGGCACTGGTGGAGTAAATTGTCACCAGTCCCCAGAAGATGCCATCACGGATTGTTGATTTACCTATTGTCTGCACTAATGAGCTCTGCAACATCAAGAAGGTGCAGGGAGACTATGCAAGGAAAATTCATAACACATTCAGGTCTTCTTTTATCACACTCTCAGTTGAGGTACCAACAAGCATGGAGATTACAGAGAGTTTCAACTCAGTGATCAAGTGGAAGCCCTCCACCATGGAGAGGTGAGAGCGCAGGAGTGTTTGTGGTTCACGTACTGTGTTTCAAGTATGTGTTGTTTACACTGAGGGTATGCAGAAGAGAGGGCAGTATTGGCCACTGAATTGGAAACACGCAGCTACAGTGGAAAGATAGCATGTGAGTATCTGGTGGGTGACAGTTGCACTTGACATTCTACAAACTCCTTTAGGGCTGCAGCTTTGCAAAGAAAACGGGGCCAGCAAGTTGAACCACAGCTTCATTTCACACCGGAAAAGTTGTATGCTATAGTCTCAACATTTTTTTCCTCTGTTTGAAACAAAAGTTTGTGATTTGTGAGTAGATTTTGAAATCTTCATTAAAACTTTCCATTCCTCCTTATGAAAGAGATCCTTCAAAGGTTAACAGCAGGAAGAAGGAGCAATGCTGAAGTAAACACAGTCTGGTGCCACCCCAAGTTACCACTAACTGATCACTTGCAGGGATCAAGCAGCACCTGCTCATCACCAGCAATGCTATGTCATTGCTTAGCTTCCTTCTGAAGCACTATGAGGAGATACCATGGGCAACAAAAACAACAGAGCACGGTCATTTTCATGGTCCTTTTGTGTCCACCAGTAATTGCAGCGTAATTCCCATGTCCTCAGATGTACTCCTGCTGCCAGTCACAAAATACTGTGAGACATCCATGCAGTGTCTAATATTACTGAAACTAAGAAGCCAAAGTTTCTTACAACTAATGTGAAAATCACTGAGATCCTTCCACAAAAGGACTAAGAGATCAATCATATCCAAAACTTGGCACCCCCTCCAGCTCTGATGCTCAAGCTCCTCTCACTTCTCTGTTAAATGGATGTAATCAAGCACACGAAAAAAAAAATCCTAAACTCACTTTGTGCTAAGTCTCATTCCAAAAATGCAGATCCCTTGTCAGTCTGTCTCTTCCCTGAGTGGTTTTGTCTCTTCTCTCTTTGCTCCTGTCTCTTTCTGCTTAATTGTTTGACATTAATTAAATACAGACCTCAGCTTCCCTTACTACAGAATGATAAACCGTGGTCATAAGCAAGTTAGGTTGGAGTTCACCAGCAATCAGAACCCTGCAACCTTAGCTATGACTAAAATAAAACTTACTGTTAGGTTTTGAAGAAAAAAGAAATTACCTTCTACCATCTAACCAACCTGTCTCCTCTTCTGACATCTCTTATACAGTGCTCTCTAGAAGTAACTGGCTGTCTAAATTTTTTCTTCTGTAGTCATATCATCACCGTGGCACTACAACAGAAATTACTGATAAAATGTGTTATTAAAGTTAGTGCTTCACTGATTTGACTTAGGTCCTCAGTCTAACAGTGACAAGTCTACTGAAAAATACCATCCAGAGGACAAGCTGCCAAACCAGAGTATGCTAAAGTCAAAGAGAGTTCTTAATTTATCTTATTGACCACCTACCCCTTCCAGTTTTAGAGTAGATCACCAGTGTAAAACATACATATACTGATCTAAATTATTTAAATAAGTGTTGATTTTAAATAAGAGCTTTAACTGGAGCTCCTGTTTATTCCTGGAACTTTTTGTAACAAATAATTGCGACTGCAACAGCTTTAGTTGTTTTACTGTGCAAAACAGAAACAGCTTTGTGCTAAGTGATACCTAAACACAGGGCACAGAAAAAGATTATTCCTGTCCCCACTAATTTATTATTTAGAAGACATGAGATAAGGGCACAGGAAAGGGGTGGTTTTGTCTGATCACACACAGACATTTCTGTTGGAGATATATTTCCCTGGTGTCCTCTCTGGCCAATGAAGTGTGTCCGTGTTGAAAAGGGATGCGTGACAGCCTGCTTGCAGCTCTATCACTCCACAGACAATAAGCTTTTGTCTTGCCTTAAAAGGATATATTTGTTAGCAGTTTATTGGAGGCAGCACACAGAATCAATCTACATCAGAGTGAGAATCTAGCCCTGACAAAAATTCAGTCCCCCCACAAAGACGCATCCTCATTTCCCAGCACACTTACTTCCATTCAAACCCTGCTGAGCAACAGAAATCGGGAATTTTCCTACTTTGGTCTCAGGGGAGCTATGGTTTTGAAATTTCATTTTCTGACATATGCATTATGATAGTGATGGAAGGGAAGGGGCACCCACAAACAGTTCCAATGGATGGCAGGAACCAGCCCACTTCAGCATTTCGGAAAACATGAGACTCAGCTGTAACCGTCTGCAAGGCAGACCCATGATTTTGGTTCCTTTTCTACTATCCTCGATCAGCCTGCGAAGACAAGCTATTCCCAACAACAGCTTATCCTGTTATAAAGGTAGGATGAATGCCACTTAGGATAAGGAGAATAAACTGCCCACAGAAACCAGAAGGAGCCTACACAAGTAGCATCACAGGATGGCTCATCTGGAGATGACAGGAGAACCTTGGAAAAACCTCAAGACTGATGTTAACAATTGCTTCATAAGATTTTGAGATCAAGACCTCTGTAATATGGTTTAATTGACAAAACCTTGTTTTCTTTTTACTTGGCCAAAATCTGCTCTGTTGCAGGCAAACCTCACAAGTATCACAGCCTCATGAAAGGACCACTTTCACACAGCTCAGCAGGCCTAACAACAGCTTTCATCACTCACCAATGTGCTCTGATGTCCAATGAAGTAAACCCAGTTCCTCAAACATTTTCCGTAAATGATCTCTAAAGCAGCAGCCACAACAGCAACGGCACCAAAGCCAGCAGCACCGGTATCTGACATACCCAGGAAAAGGGAGCTTTCTTTACAAAGCAGTAACAGAATCACAGAATCACAGAATCATTAAGGTTGAAAGACAAATCTAAGATCATTGAGTCAAAGATAACAAAGAAAAACATCTCACAGACTCACAAAAAAAAACCCCAACAAACCAGGAAGGCCAGAAAGTGCCAAAATAAAAAAGTAATACACCAGCCCACCACCTCGCTATCTGTTGAAACTGTTGCTACTGTAAGTGCAAAGATCCAGGAAGCATCACCCATACCCATGTGCAAGTGGTCACCCATGCAAGGCCTTTTTGGCAGGGCGGAAACCCGTGTGGTTAGAGAAGAAAACCACAAGATGTTAGGGAACAAAAAATGTGTAACCCCAGGGCATGGAGCTTTCTCGGTGGGTTTCAGATCACAGACCACCTGCCTTGCACAAAACAGCTTTTGCAGAGCAATTGCAAAGAAGAATGGCAAAGGGATCAGTCGAGCACCTGAAGAACTCAGCTGTGCGTCTGCAACACATGTGCTTGGTGATAAAAATAAAAGCATGGATATAAGCCATGAAACACCTTTGTCTTGCTCATAAGGTAATATAATACAGTGTGCTTTGCCATCCACACCACAAGCCTTAGGTGTGCACAATAAAAGGCAGCAAAATCCCTGCCAAGAAATGCAATCTGGAGGCTGCAACCAAAGCAGAGGGCTTGCCCAGGACTTCTGTGGAGCTGGAGTTGCTGTAAACGTCCAGATGGCCGGGAGACAACAGGCTGCAGTGGCTGGTCCTACCTCAGGCACCAGCATCCTCAGCCTCAATCTCTAGAGAAGTCAGGCATCGAGACACAATCTTTGAGGCACCACTAAGAACCAATAATGATAAATGAGCCCAAACCCTGCATTACAATGGAATTTCTCCAGAAATCTTTTATTTTCCCTTCATTTTGCAGCAGATGCCAAACACCACCTCTTTACCCAAGAGGGTCCTGATGACATCACATCCTCTCCAAACAGCGACGCAGCCTCCAAGTCAAGAAAGAAAGATCATCTCTGCTCCGCTGCACTGTCCCTGAGGACGGCCACCCTGAGGAGAAGATGGCCAGGACTCCTGAGCTGCTCCTTCTGCTGGCTCTGGGGCTCTGTGAGTATGGACACAGGGTTGTGCATCACCTGTACTGGGAGGGACAACTCAACCCCTTCCAGTGCATCCAAGACATTAGGCTAAATAATTAAAGGGAAAACTAAAAGCCAAGCAAAAAGGCTTCCTTTGAGGTTTGCTCAGTAATTGTGGAGGTAAAGGCAGCATTGCCTTAGCCAGAGTAGGGCCGCCAGAGGGGTGGCTGCTGCCTCATGTGCAATGGGAAGGGATCAGGTTGGAGAAGTTGTTCTGGAGGGAAGAGGACAAAAAGAGGCTTTTAGAGTCAGTGTTTTAAGGAGTGACTTCATTTAAGGTGTGATGGGGCACTGTACTCAGGAAGCATCTGAAAGGGTTTTCTGAAGGGCAGCACCCATCCCTAAAGCCCGGGTGGCTGATTGCTGAGCACTCCACAAACACGATTCCAGCAAGGACTCCAATAAAAACTTAATCTGGACAGCAAGACTCCCCCTTTGCTGTTGACTTCACACCCCAAGGACAGAAAACAATGTTTACCCAGAGGAACTACGGCTCTTCCCGACTGGTTCCCATCAGAATTTCTCTCCTGCAGGCTGCCCTGGGATCCAGAGCCAGAGGTACCAGATGACAGCCAGGTTTCGTGACAGAACCATCACACACCCCGAGATGGGACAGCGGCTGGAGCTGGAATGTGTGAACCCTAAGGACGACAGTGGTGTATTCTGGGTCCGCCAGGACAAGGGTGGGATCCTTCACTTCATCGTCTTTACCACTTCCCTCTCTCGGAACACCTTTGTGGGGAATGCAAAGGAGTCCACACGCTTCGAGGCAAGCAGACAAGGCAGGTTCTACCAGCTGGTGGTGAAGTCCTTCACATCACAGGACGAGGGGACCTATTTCTGCATCATGAACAGCAACCAAGTGCTTTACTTCAGCCCTGGCCTGCCTGCCTTCTTCCCAGGTCAGCAACACCTCCACCCAACTTTTCTTAGCTCTCCCAAAAGGTCCATCTCCCTCTGCCCATGCTTTTTTTTAGTCATTTGTCTCACAGACCCCATTGCCCTGCCTGCTTGACAAAGGCACCTTGTGACCAGAGTGCCCATCCTCCTGCCAGAGTCTCCTTGCTTGCTGTTTCTTCTCATGGTATCACGTCTGCCCAAAAGCAAAGATCAACGGTCAAACCCAGCATCACCTCTCCATCCCATCATGGCTCTGAAGGGATTTGACTAAAACAAAGTCAACTAATCCCCCAAATCCTTCCTCACCTCACATCAGTCCCAAAATTCCTACCAACCTCATGGTACTCAGACTTTCTGAGGATGGTGGCAGACAACAAGAATTAAGGAGCCTGCAGCTCCTTACTGGGTCATGGGAGACACAACTCGGGAGAGTCACCATCCAAAATGGGCTCTGTGATGTTCCCCTTGAGCTGAGTCTTGAGCTGGCAACAGGAGCAGCCGTGTCCTGGCAGAGCAGGAGAGCAGAAGGGTAGGTCAGATATATTTTTTTGTATTTCCCTGTATGCTGTATTCATCCGTTTTCATTTATAGTTGCCACCACAGCTGCACCCACCACACTAGCAACCACAACCCAGCACAACATCACTGAAGAGGACCCCTGCCTGAAGACACCAGGTAGGATCCAGGTAGCCCAGCTGCAGGCAGCGAGAGGGGAAGAGCTGGGCTCTGGTGCACTGATACAGAGGGTGATCCTGCAAGCATTTTGGGATGGGGGAGAGGGTGAAAATCCTCAGAGCTTTATCAGAAAGGGATAACTGGGTTTGTGCAGCTGGAAAGACTCGACTCCCATGTTTCATCCCATATAAGAAAGGCTCAGGATGATGTAAAATGCATGAGCACGTCTTATGCCTGGGCACACCGGTAAGAGAAGGAGCGAGTGTAGAGCCTTGGTGGCTGGTGGTGGTTTTGGCCTCAGTAGTGTACCTCCTCAGGTCCCAGAAAACCCTGTGAGCAGTAGCAACACTAACAAAAGCCCATGCTACACTTTCGGACATCACTAGTGGGCCGGGGAAGCCCTGTGCTTCACTGCCAGCCTCGATCAGTGCCAGATGGGTCTCTTGGATGGTCCCTTGGCTCCACCAGAGCTGGCTATAACACCAGCTGTGGGCAAATGGTGGACCTTTTCTTTTCTCTATTCCTGCAGAGACCACCGAGTTTAGTTTCTCTTGTGACATCTTCATCTGGGCTCCCTTGGCAGGCGCCTGCGTCCTGCTCATCATTGCCCTGGCAGTCACCATCGTGCTGTGTCAGCGTAAGTCTCACCCATAACCCCCCATAGATGTTCCTCTAGCCTGAAACCACAGCCCTGTCCTTCAGGGAACGGATCTTCTAGCCATCCCCTTTACGTAGCCATCAGATAACCAGGACACAGTCAACACAAGAGAACGACCACTGTTAAAAATCAGTGTACACATTTTCCTCATCTCTATGATTGGCCTTGAAAATAATTATCAATTTCTACACTGCAAGGAAAAAAAATTTTAAGTACAGAAAATTTGCTTTATCACACTCTCTTGAGTTTGATACTCTATCAAACTATTCCTGAGTGGTAACCCAATAACCAACTTAACTACAGAGGTTCAGGGACTTCTACAGTTAAAACAGTGACGCACACTCTCTGGATAGACAAAAGTCCTTCCATGAAATTCAATGTTTGAGATGTCTTTAAATTACCCTGAGCAGGCAGTGAGTGCAAATGTGTTTACATCCATTTAATGCTTGCTGAAATCAGTTAAACTTTACTTTGGTGAGTGGCCCAACATCCTCAGAAGTTACACTGATGTAATTAAACCATCTCAGCTCATTCATCTAGAACACCAAAGTGTTTTGCTGCTGAATTAGACCAACTAAATCCTCCCTGACCCCACAGCCTGCAGCTGATGCAACATGAATTTACCAGCTGACCCAGCTGAAAAAACAAGTGCAATTTTCCAACATCCTTCAGCTCTGAAGAGTGCTACTCGCCATGGTCTACAGTGATAGGAAGCAATATGTCAAAAACCACTGATGAGCCACAGCCAAAACCCATTCTTCTCCAGGGAAATGGCTGATGATGCAGCAGAGCATTCAGAGTTGGTCCAAATTCCCTCAGAAGTCACCAGGAGCCAAGTGCCCTCCACAAGCACAGGGACCGGTGCAATCCCCAGTGACCTGCAACATCGTGAACTTACAAACACCACTCAATCATTCATTTCTGCCTTTTAATGCTGATGGTAATGACCAGTGAAAAGTCATCAGCTGCCATTAATTACTGCAGCAGGCAGCTGGAGCTCTCAAGGACAGACTTTTACCTTGTGCTGAAATTCATGGCTGGACACTGTATTTTGCAAAAAAACATCCCAAAGTAATGACATGGATGCTAGAATGGAGAAGTGTGTCGTTCATCTTGGTAGCACGCTGCATGGCATCATGGCCAATTGCCTGATGTAGAAATTAATTGCTGCCAATGGATTTTAAGCAACATGCCAAAGTCACTGGAGACCACAAAATAAAACCATAATTCACTGCCATTGTACCCGGGTTGACCCTACTATGGTTACTCACACGAAGGTTTAATTCATAAAAATACTAAAATGGACTGATAGGGTTTTCTCAGTAAAACATTTCTTTACTGAGCTGGGTCTTGTTGTCTTTGAACTAAAATGTTTTCCTTTTTATTTTAGAAACCAGAAGACGAAGATGCAGATGTAAAAGGTTCGTAAGTGACGAGTGTTGACATTTTTCTCTTGAAGTCAACAGCATCTCACCCTCAGATGAGAAAGCCGGCAGGTGCAAAGAAGTGACCTAAAAATTCTTCCTCTGATATACAGTGCAGGGAGGGGACCATGTAATGAATTAGGAGCAAGGAAGAGATATCCTTCTCTTTGCCTGTGTTTCTTTTTTTTAAATATTAAGTAATTAAAATCACGGTAGTAGATACTAAAGAGAAAGACAGAAGTGTCTGTGGCAGACTAAAAACTTTGTGCTGATGGATTATCGCAACCCAAATCCCCTTCTGCAGTATTGTACCGGCAGCAGCATGGCTTTATGCCTCTGGTGCCCCCCAGAGGCACTAGCCAACAGTGGCAGAGGCTGCTGCGGCCCTAGGTGACTTGCCTGAGAAGCAGCAACGCAGATACGTACAGCTTTACAGTCAACGTATTTTCTAAGGCATCCAGGAATCCTTTTTTCATACTTTCCTTCCTGCCTCCCCAAGTCACTCGTCCTCCTGAGTGACCAGGAAAACACTCTTGGAATAAGAACTGCAAATTCAAGCTGATCTGACATCCTTGTTTAGGATGATGCTTGCAGTCTTCCCTTATCTCAGTCCCTGTTGCCAGCCCTGGACAAAAATATTGCAATAGATTTAACAGCATATCTTCAGAAAGTCCTGCTAACCGCTGTTTCTGGGTGAATGCTGGCAGATCCTTCACCAGCACAAAGGAAATAGTTTGCAGCCTGCTCTTCAAGGTCCCTGGCTGCAGACCAAGGGTAAAAGAGCTGATAGGCAGCCATACATTAATTGCCTTCTTGTCCCTATTACATCCAAGTAAATCAAAGCCTTTTCTCTCTGTAGACCTATGAATGGGAAGCCCAATGCAAAAGCCAGCGTGCCAAGCCGACACGTATAAGCATCTGCACCTTCTGCCTTCTGGATCATCTTGGGGAGCTGACACTGCATAAGCCCAGCACCTACATAATCTGTACTGCTACTACTTCTCATGCATTCTGCCTTGGCAAATTGGAAAAGACAAGATGGAGCAGACACACGGACAGCAAGCACGCACGTGTTTTTCATTGAGAAACTAAATATCAATTAAAAGGCCTTACTTTTTCAGTTTGTACAGCCCTGGGGGCTAAGGTTCACTATTTCCTCTTGCTATGCCTCTTCTGCTGCTGGCTCCACTTCCACCGATTCCAGCAGTTTTGCCTGAGCAAGGAAGGTGGGATTTTCTTTCTTTTGGGATGAAATGGTTGAGTGCTGAGAAAAAAACCAGGTTTTTCTCATTTGCTTTAGTTAAGCAAGATTTTTAGCATACCTTCATGGGACATGTTGATTGACTACAATGAGTTCTGTGTCTGATGTAAATATTTCCTTACTAAAATTGTAAATCAAAGAACTGAGAAAAATAAATAAAACAATTTTTCTAGTTAGACTTACTAATGTTTATGTCATTACTCAGTTCCTAGCCTCAGAAACAGCTAAAATCTTTTGTGAAGATAATAAGTGAGGGTCTGATGAAGTCATGGATAAGGGAAAAGGCAACAATTTATATACCAGCAAGAGATTTAGGATGCCAGAGTTCAGCTTCCAGCCTAAAATGATACCATTTTCATTTCCTACTAAAATGAACTAAACGTCAAATGGAGTAAATCCAGTTCCTAAACCATTTTCCATAACTCACCCCTAAAGCAGCAGCCATAAAACAATGGCATCAAAGCCCACAACACCAGTTTTGGGCATACTCAAAAGGCAGGCTTTCTTGCAAAGGACTAACAGAAAAATCTCATCACACAAAGAAATAATCAACAGAAAGGCCAGAAAGCAGAAACCAGAGAAGTAAATAATACACCAGACCACCACCTCAAAGTCTTGCTACTGTATGTGCAAAGCTCCAGGAAGCATCACCCATACCCGTTTGCAAGTGGTCACCTGCAGGCAGCAGCAAGGGCCCTCTTTGTGGAACCATGCAAGGGTTCTTAGGCAGGGCGGAAACCCCTGTGGTTAGAGAAGAAAACCACAAGGTGTTAGAGAAAATGAAAACTGCATAACCATGGGGCATGGAGCTTTCTCGGTGGGTTTCAGATCACAGACCACCTGCCTTGCACAAAACAGCTTTTGCAGAGCAATTGCAAAGAAGAATGGCAAAGGGATCAATCGAGCACCTGAAAAAATCAGCTGCATGTTTGCGATGCATGTGCTTGGTGATAAAGAAAACATGTGGATGAATGCCATGAAACATTCTTGTCTTGCTCACCAGGTAACTTAATATGGTATGCTTTGCCATCCACACCACAAGCCTTAGGTGTGCACAATAAAAGGCAGCAAAATCCCTGCCAAGAAATGCAACCTGGAGGCTGCAACCAAAGCACAAGGCTTGTCCAGGACTTCTGTGGAGCTGGAGTTGCTGTAAACATCCAGATGGCCAGGAGACAGCAGGCTGCAGTAGATGATCCTATCTCAGGCACCAGCATCCTCAGCCTCAATCTCTAGGGAAGACAGTCATTGAGACACAATATTTGAGGCACTGTCAAGAACCAATAATGATAAATGAGCCCAAACCCTGCATTACAATGGAATTTCTCCAGAAATCTTTTCTTTGCCCTTCATTTTGCAGCAGATGCCGAACACCGCCTCTTTACCCAAGAGGGTCCTGATGACATCACATCCTCTCCAAACAGCGACGCAGCCTCCAAGTCAAGCAACAAAGATCATCTCTGCTCCGCTGCACCGTCCATGAGGACGGCCACCCCGTGTTCCTTCTGCTGGCTCTGGGACTCTGTGAGTATGGACACAGGGCTGTGCATCACCTGCACCGGGAGGGACAACTCAACCCCTTCCACTGCAATGAAGACATTGGGCTAAATAATTAAAGGGAAAATTAAGAGCCAAGCAAAAAGGCTTCCTTTGAGGATTGCTCAGTAATTGTGGAGGCAAAGGTGGCATAGCCTCAGCCAGCGTAGGGCAGCCAGAGGGGTGGCTGGAGCCTCATGTGCAATGGGAAGGGACAGGGTTGGAGGAGTGCTTCTGGAGCGGAGAGGAAAAAAGGGTGTTTAGCTGTTGGTGTTTTACAGTCACTTCAGGGCACTGTACCTGAGAAGGCAGATGAAATGCTTTTCTGATGGGAAGCACCCATCCCTAAAGCCCGGGTGGCTGATTTCTGAGCACCCCACACATACGATCCCAGCAAGGACTCCAATAAAACCTTCATTGGGACAGCATGCCTCCCACTTTGTGTTTGACCTGGCATCCCATGGGCAGGGAAAGACGTTTGCCTGGAGGACACATGGCTCTTCCCGACTGGTTCCCATCAGAATTTCTCTCCCCCCACAGCCTGCCCTGGGATCCAGGGCCAGAGGTACCAGATGACAGCCAGGTTTCGTGACAGCAACATCACACACCCTGAGATGGGACAGCGGCTGGAGCTGGAGTGTGTGACTCCTTTGGATTACAGCAATGTTTTCTGGTTCCACCAGGACAAGGGTGGGATCCTTCACTTTATTGTCTTTATCTCTTTCTGGTCTGAGACCACATTCGAGGGATACCAGAAGACATCCACATACTTTGAGGCAAGTAAAGAAGACAAGTTCTACCGGCTGGTGGTGAAATCTTTCACATCACAGGACAAGGGGACCTATTTCTGCATCATGAACAGCTACCAAATGCTGTACTTCGGCCCTGGCCAGCCTGCCTTCTTCCCAGGTCAGCAACACCTCCACCCAACCTCGCTTAACTCTCCCAAAATGTCCAGCTCCAACTGCCCATAGATTTTGTTATCAGTTGCTTCTTCCACAAACTCCATTGCCCTGCTTGCTTGACCAAGGCATCTTGTAACCAGCACAGCCATCCTCCTGCCAGAGACTCCCTGCTTGCTGTTTCTTCTCATGGTATCACCTCTGCCCAAAGTAAGAGCTCAACGGACAGACCCAGCATCACCTCCCAATGCCATAAAGGCTCTGGAGATATTTGAAAAAAAAAATAAAGCCACCCTCCCATACTCCTTCCTCATCTCACATCAGTCCCAAAAGTCCTACCAACCTCAGGATATTCTGGCTTTCAGAGGATGGTGGAAGAAAGCAAGAAATAAGGAACTTGCTCCTCATTACTGAGTCTTGGGAGATGCTCCTTGAAGGAGTCATTGTCCAAAATGGGCTCTGTGAATATCCTCAGGAGCTGAGCCCGACGCTAGCAACAGGAGCAGCCATGCCCTGGCAGGAGCAGGAGGCCAGAAGACCAACCTCAGGATATTCTGGCTTTCAGAGGATGGTGGAAGAAAGCAAGAAATAAGGAACTTGCTCCTCATTACTGAGTCTTGGGAGATGCTCCTTGAAGGAGTCATTGTCCAAAATGGGCTCTGTGAATATCCTCAGGAGCTGAGCCCGACGCTAGCAACAGGAGCAGCCATGCCCTGGCAGGAGCAGGAGGCCAGAAGGGAAGGACAGAGA